AGAAACTGGAAGTATAAATAAAGACCAAAATGTACACTATGTATTGTGAAACAGAAAATGTTCAGATGGGGAGGTGATCAAAAGAAGGGAGAGGGAGAAAAGAAAGAGGGGGGAAAGTTAAGTGAGAAAAAGTAAAAATGAAAACAAAGCTTTTATAAATGGGGAGGGGAAGAGGTGAAAGGAGGGTAGAGGAATGGAAAAAAAGACTCAAATTATATCATGTATAGATACAAATTCTCTATGATGAATGTGATCATTATGAACATCTAAAATGTACCCATAAAATCTGATTTAAAAAAAAATTTACAACTCAGCTGTATCCTCATTTTCTGGGAACACCTTCCCTAAAAAAAAAAAAATCACCTTTGGGCAGGGGAGATGGCCCAGTGGAATAAGCGCTTCCCTGGCAAGCGTAAGGGCCCGAGTTCAAACCCCGGTTCCACAAAAAAAAAAAAAAAAAAAAAAAATCACCTTTAGCCTTCTAGATGACAATTTGAAAGGCTTTACAGAAAGGCACCATAAATGAGTGCATTCTGCTAAGCAAACAATCTAAGACCAACCTATATTTAGGTTAGAACATGGTGGCACATGGGACATTAAAGTACAGTGGATGTGATCAATATTGCATGAAGAAAAAACAGTACACCAGGAAAAATAAAAGTTCAGAACAGATGCAGGCGAACAGGCCGTGTATCAGCAAACCGGAGACAGCCAGTCACGCCACTGAGCCAGAGCACAGACCTGGGGCCCGCCAGGGGGCTTGCAGCTCTAGGATTCTGCCAACAGCTGCAGTATACTGGGCAAGTGACTGAGCGGCAGGACAGGGCTGGGGAGATGGCTCAGCAGAGTGAGCGCTTCCCTTGCAAATGCAAGGGCCTGAGTCCAATCCTCGGTTTCACCAAAATAAATACAGAAATAAATAAAATAAAATAAACTACAGGACAAATGGAGAGAGTACCTTGGAGCAGTACTCCAGGACATGGGCAAGGGGCTTGGAGCGAGGAGCGTCTGGGGCTTAGCACACACAGAAACACCCAGTCTTTAATGGCCTACAGATACAGTTAGTTCTGGGCTGGGATTAACCGAAAGAACTTTAACACTGGCTGACCACAAGCCAGAAATACACGAATGTAGGCCCCAGTGAAAGCTGGAAAAGGATTCTAGCCATCATTGGTCCAAATCCTATCCCATATCCTAACTGAGAAATGGAGAGTCAGATGTTTCCTCACACTAGATACAGATTTTTAAAATTACAGATACAAACTGGTCACTCACAGCTTCTAAGAGCCTTCCATCTCAAACTTACTACATGTCCCTCTAGTTTAGTAGAAGGTAGGCTTCTAAAGCAGCTGATAACAGAGACCTACATCCTATTTGACGCAACAATGACACAATCTGTTTTACCTCCTTTGAGCACTAGGTCCCCTGCGACAGGTTTCAGTCCATAGTCCTCTAGCCTCCTGCTCACCATGTTATTCCACACATAACTTTGATAGCTATGGATATACATTAAGCGATTGTTTCTTGGTATCTAGAGGAAGGGGGTAAAAAAAGGCAAGAAAAACATATTCTGAATATAAAAGGTACTGTAGTCTCTAAGACATCTCATTTGCTTAGAGGTAATCTGAGGATCAGAAACTTATTTTTTATTTTTTTGTATTTACAGGACCTATAGGGTCTCACTATGCAGCTCAGACTCGAAGTGATTCTTCTGTTCTCAGCCTCCCAAGCTCTGGGATTACAGGCATGTGCCACCATGCCCAGTCTCGAGCGTTGTATCAGCGCACCCTGGGGGTGGGGCCGGCATGGCACGCTAGGCATTGAACCCTGGCCACTGCATTCAGCCTAAGCAGGCGCTTTAGTCCACTGAGCTATCTGGCTGGCCCTAGAAACTTGTTTTTTAAAGCCTACAGAAGCATTCAGATACAGAACACCAAACATTGGAGAGGAGGACCTCAAGCTAAAGGGCACTGATGTGCCAGCAGTTTACATTTTGTATCCCAATGCATACATCCACGCAAATGAGGCAAATGCTGCAGAACTTATACCCTAAACCAACACAGACTTTATACTTAGGCAATTTATAAATCAACTACAATAGAGTTAACAGTGCTTTCTCCCCCATAATTGTATATAATGTCTCAATGACAACTAACTTCATGCAGCAAGACTCCTGCTTTATTTGTACATCTGGGAAAAAGCAGTAAGACAGAGTTAAAGCATAAACTTTTAATATATCCAGAAATACTATATAAATAGTGGCAGAGGTCATATTTGCCAAGACGGTACCCACTCTTGGGTCACCATGATAGAACCCTGACTAGCAGGCAACTATTTAGACCGTTGCAGTCCATTTTTCTTCTCAGGGAAGTTTATAGTTCTAAAGATAATGACCAAGAGATGACTATAAAATAAATGCTGAATTTCTGGACCACCCAATCTAATTTCTGACTGGAGATCATATTTTGCACATTAGTGCTTCTTATGCTTTCAAGGTTGAAAAGCAGTGGCAGGACCACTGATACAGCTCAACAGTACAGCGGCTGCCTGGCAAGCTCAAGGTCCTGAACTCCATCCCTAGTACCAACAAAACAAAACCAAAACCAACAAAAAACAAAACCAAAAACCACACCTAAGAAGCAGTGCCCATGTGCCCCTGTCCATCTTTTCATCTCATTTGGGTCTGTACAAGGATCACTAGGGTAAAACACATCTTGGAGATCACCAAATGATACTTATTTACCTTCTGCTCTTTGAAAATTTAGTAAAATCTTCCAAGATAAAGTTTAAAAAGCATTAAACACCTTGGGCCATTGCCTGACTTCACAAATCGCACTCACTATGCCAAATGCAGAGACTATATTCTTCATTCCATATTTTGAAAGTCCTCGAAGCAGCTGCCCCTCCACACACCTTTTGACAGGTAGTTTTTTGAGGGCAGCAGCTGGGTCTTTGGTCTTCGCCCATTCTTCCCTGCATTTAACCAAATACCCTTTTTCAGCTGGGGAAGAAAAAAAGCCATCATTAAACAATTTGTCCAACAGATGTTCAGTATATTTCACAGGGAACAATTATAAAGGCTGTCTACAACGGTCTGCCACCTGGGAACAGCAGCAAGGAAGAGGAAAGATGGAGACTGCCAAGTTTAGAGAGCTGTGTAGGACTCTGTCCACACGCTCTGGTCCATGCCGCTCCCCCGC